TGATAATGTTAAAGCTTTATGGGACAAATTAGAAGAACAGTACTTGGTTAAGTCTCTGCTTAATAAAATTTTCCTTCTAGAGAGATTTTTTAACTTTAAGATTGACCTGTCTAAGGACTTAGAAAATAATCTTGATACTTTTAATAAGTTAGTTTAAGATATTACTAATGCAGAAGATAAAGTTTTTGAAGAATATAAGGTTGTTATCCTTCTGAATGCCATACCTGAGGCATATATAGATGTTAAATCTACTATTAAGTATGGCGAAGATACCATAACTCCTAAAATAGTGATAAATTCTTTAAGAAGTAAGAAATTAGAACTTAAAGCTGACAAGACAGAGATGGAATCTGAGAGTTTATTTGTTAGAGGGAGGTCTATTTCTATGCAAGGAAATGGTCAGAGTCATCAAGGGAATAATACTTCTAAGAAAAAGGGGAAAGTGAGGTTTAAATCAAAGTTTAGAAGTGGAAATAGGAAGTTTTATGGGTGTGGAAAGACTGGACACTTTATAAAAGACCGTTATAAGAAAAAGAATGAATAGAGAGAGATGAAAGTTGATGAGGAAAATGTATGAACCCTTAGATGATAGAACCATAGATGTTTATGTTGTGACAGAATTCATTACTGATCTTAATACTACAAATTATGCAGATAACTGTGATCAAAATAATGAATCGATTCTGGATTAAGAGTGCACCTTTCATATGACTTCTAAAAGACCTTGGTTGGAAGACTATGAGGTTCTTCATAATGGAGAGGTGGTTATGGGCAACAATGATGCCCGTAGAATTAAGGGAATTGATAGTGTGATTTTAGAATTTGAAAATGGATATACATTTATTCTAGAAAGGGTAAGGTATGTCCCTGATTTGAATAACAATTTAATTTCAATGGGTAATCTAGTTGACATAAGCATACAAGGTAGGATTGGAAAAGGTTCTTTGAAAGTAATTAAGGATTCCTTAGTTATTTTCAAAGGTACTAAAAGAAATGGTATATCTGTTACTAGAGCCAATGTTGTTCTGATTCACACTGCTGAGTCATCCGGTGCTGAGAAGATGCCACCTTGAAATGGCATAACAGACTAGCACATGTTAGTGAAAAAGGCATGCACATTTTGAAAAAGAAGGGGGCATTTGATAATGATATTATTTCTAAGATTCATTTCTGTGAGTACTGTACCTTAGGTAAGCATCATATGCTTTATTTTAATACTGAAAAGCATAAAACTGCATCTATCCTCTGTGGGGCCCATCATCTACTACCTATACTGGAAAGCATAAAATTGCATATATCCTTGAATATATTCATTCTAACCTGTGGGGCCCGTCATCTACTACCACTCAAGGTGGAAATATATATATTTTTATCGTTGATTGATGATTTTTCAAAAACATTTGGATTTATCTTTTGAAATAAAAATCAGACACTTTTGAAAAGTTTAAAACTTGGATCAACTTTGTAAAGTTGATGGGATTCTCAGACATAAAATTGTTTCATTTACCCCTCACCAAAATGGTGTTGTTGGAGGATGAATATGACTATTTTAGACAAGGTTAGATGTATGATGGTTAGTTCAGGAGTTCCTAAAGTCCTTTGGATGGGAAGACACCTGAGAAAGTATGGTCAAGGAAATTATTTGATTATACTATCTTGAGAACTTTTGGGTGTGCTGCCTATTCTCATCAAAGTTTAGGCAAATTGGAGCCTAGGTCCCTGAAATGTGCTTTCATGGGATATCCTGAAGGAGTGAAAAGATATAGACTTTGGGCTAGAGAAAAAAGGGATTTAAGATGATAACCTGTAAGAATGTAATATTTAATTAAGCTGATATGCCTTGTTTAAATAAGAAAGTCTTAAGAGATGTCAGTCACTGAGAGTGGAAAAGAGGAAAAAAAACTAGAATGTAGGTGAAGTGAGATTACTCTCCTGAACTTGTTGATGATGAACTAGGAAAGAGATAAGAGAACTTGTTAGGTGAGTGACTATCAATCCTTTGCTATTTTGTCATATCAAGATTTAGCTTTTAAGGAGCCTAAATCTTACGAAGAGGCTCTAAGATGTCAATAGTCAGATGAGTGGCTAAGAGCTATGAAAGAAGAAATGAAGTCCCTATTGAAAGCTAGTTCCTAAACTTGAGAATAAGTCTTTAATAGACTGTAAGTAGGTTTATAGCATTAAGGAGAGAAATACTTCTAAATAGCCTCTTAGGTTTAAAGCTAGATTAGTTGCAAAGGTATTTACCCAAAAATCTGGTATTGATTACAATGAAATATTCTCTCATGTTATTAAATATAATACTATAAGAGTCATACTTGCTTTGGTTGTTTAATATGATTTAGAACTTGAACAAATAAATGTTAAAACTGTTTTCTTGTATGGTGACTTAGATGAAATAATTTATATGGTTTAGCCACAATGTTTCATTGATTCTAGAAGACCTAATTATGTTTGTCCTTTAAACAGGTCTTTGTATGGTTTAAAACAATTCCACAATGTTTCATTGATTCTAGAAGACCTAATTATGTTTGTCCTTTAAACAGGTCTTTGTATTGTTTAAATCAATCACCTAGGCAATTGTATAAGAGATTTGACAATTTTGTGTTTTCTCTTGGCTTTATAAGAAGTGTTTTTGATCGTTGTATTTATTTTAAAAGAAATGATAATAATTATGTGATTGTTTATCTTTTTTTGTATGCAGATGATATGTTGTTGATTAGACATAATATGAGTGATATAAATGACATTAAAACAACTTTAAGTGCTGAATTTGAAATGAAAGACTTATGTCATGATAGAAGAATTCTAGAAATGAATATTAAAAGAAATAAACCACAACGATCTTTTCTTTTAACATAATCTGATTATGTGAAAAATGTGTTATCCAAGTTTGCTATGCATAATTCTAAGTCCGCTACTTTGTCTCTTGCTTGTCATTTTAAATTGAGTAAAAATCAATGTCCTCATGATGAATCTGATATCAAATACATGTAAAAAGTGCCTTATGCTAATACTATTGGATCTGTTATGTATACTATGGTGTGTACTAGACCTTATGTTGCACATGCTATTAGCATTTTGAGTAGATTTATGGCAAATCTAGGTCCTCAACATTAGATTTCTTTAAGATGACTTTTAAGATACTTAAAAGGTTCTGCTGATTTAGGTTTGCATTTAAATTTTGTAAAAAGGGAGTTGTGTTAAAAGAATATGTGGATTCTGATTATACTAGTAATAATGATAATAAGAAATCTATAGCTGCATATGTTTACTTTGTGTAATACTCGCATAAGTTGGAACTCTCAATTGCAGTCTATTATTGTATTATCTACTACCGAAGCTGAATATGTGGATGCTACTGAAGCTATTAAATAGTCTTCATGGCTTAAAAGTTTGTCGTGAGAATTGAATAAATTGCATAATCTCGTTGTTTATTCTGATAGTCAAAGTGTTATTCATTTGTGTAAAAATTCAGTTTTTCATGAAATGACTAAACATATAGATGTTAGGATACATTTAATTAGAAATATAATTCAAAAGGAGTCCATATTGTTCGAAAAATCCCAACATAATTTAATTCTGCTGATATGGGAATAAAGATACTTCCTCTCACCAAATTTAAATTTTGTTTGCAAATTTTAAGAATTGATATTTGGCGAACTTTGTGTTTCTGCAAGACTGTTTCTTCTTGGTACTTATGATGGAGAAACTGAAGTGTTTTTGTTTTTTTATTTCATTAGCATCAGAAGGGAGATTTAATGGGTTGTGATGTTAATTATATTAATTGCATTCAGTTCATTGGACTGTGATGAAATTAGGCCTAGCCCATAACTGGATTGGTTTATGCAATTGCCTAATAAATCATTTGAAATAGGCCCAAAACCCGACCTATTTGATGGAGACGTGTGCTACTCTGGGCCATTGATCATTGGCTGAAATCTACGGTGATGTATTTGTGTATTTAAGGGGCTAGAACAATCGCCCTTATTCACTTTTTTCATTCTGTTCTTGTGCGTAAAGCTTCTGGGATTTTTTCTGTGTTTTCTCTTCCATTCTCTCTTTCAATTAGTTTGTGTTGGTCAAAACTTCTGGTTTTGGTTGTTAAATCTGTGTGATTTGAGTCTATGTGATTCTTCGATTGAAGGTTTTGTGTTGTGATCACTTGTTTAGTTTTCATTGTAGTAGCTGCAATTGGTCGATCTTTAGGGTTTGAGTCTTTGTGGCTATTTCATTTGTACAGAATGGTACAATGCATTGTTCTGAGCCCTAAATATGATAATCAATCCATTGATGTTGATGAACTGATTGTATTCTTCATGTTCTTGAGTTACTGCTTTCGTTGTGTTTTGGTTACATCGGGTTCTTGGTCTCAAGTAACACAAATACTATCGTCCGTGCTCTTTTCAGTAATGTCTCGATCACTTATCTAGGTCACTTATCCCACTCTTTATAATCCATAGGTCAAGTTTATCATGAGTCTAAAAATGAAAATTGGTTAAATCTCAGTGCTCAGTTCGATTTTGATGGAACAAAATGTAAGAAAATAGTATCTACCGAAAAAAAAGACTTTACCCTTACAATGTCAAGAGTGTTAGCTAAATGAGTACATCATTCTTTACAACTGTCTCATTAATAAACTGCAATGTTACTCACCCAAGCTTGGTTAATATTATTGCACGTGATGGCAACTCACCTTACTCTTAGGCACGTCTAAAAAATCAAAATTAGTGGGTAAGATGTGGAAGAAATTTATAATATTATTAGCATTAACCCTGCAACGTGAAGGGATGAAATAATTCAATAAATTTCAAAACATAGTTTGTAACGGTTTATGTTAATGTCCCTTCTTTTCCTCTCTTCCACTTGTCTCTTTCCAGCCCATTTCTCAGATTCACCAAAAAACATTCTAATCTTATGATGAAGACAAATTCAGATTACACTTTTCCTTGATTTGATTCGTTAAAATTTCTGTTACAATGGACAGGAGAACATTAACCATGAATTGGGATGGTCTCGGAGAAGACGATGATGATGACAGGTTCTTTGAAACCTACCAAAGAATATCATCGGCTGTTCCCGTCGATTTAGACTCCTCCGGTTCCGACGATGATGATGGGTTTGATGATAGCCGGATGTCGTTTGTCTCCGCCGTCTCCTCCATCTCCATCAAACCAATCGGCAGCCTTGATGCGGAGGAGAAACCGTCCATTATGGCCAGCTATGATGTGTGGATGGAGGAACCCGGCGACATTAAGGAGCGGAGGAAGCGTCTTTTGAAAGGCATGGGGTTGGCAAGCAATAAGGACCTTGTGAAACTCGCCAGCGCCAAGTTTGTCCGGGCCATTTCAAGCAGCGGTGGCCGAGTTTCTACGTCGAAGGCTGATTCTTCACCATCGGAGGAATTAAAACTAGACAAATCTTCACCTAAAACGCCCATTTTGCTCGTAAGGTCGAGATCAGATAGTGATATAGAAGCTTTTTCTGCAAGAACTAAACAACGTAAAGAAGAAATAATCGGTCCAGTATCGAAACAGCGTTTAACTAGAACATCATCTGGGCAATTGGCACCAGCTACAGGTTTATATCAATACACAAATTCTATCAGAATATCACCAAAAAGATCTAGAAACAGATCTGCAATGCCAAGAAGTGATGCATTACAATCAGTATTTTCCAATGCTGGGTTGGGTTCCTTCTTCTTGATTAAGAATTTAGACACTGGAAAAGAATTCATTGTGAAAGAGGCCGATGAAGAAGGAATGTGGAATAAACTCAGCGAGGTTCAAACGGGGAAACAACTTACAATGGAGGAATTCGAAAAGTCTGTCGGGTATTCACCGGTAGTGAAGGAGTTAATGCAACGCGCAAACGTCTCGGCACATTTGGATTACGGCCCGAAAATCCATGCGAATTCGTATTTTTCAAGAAGTTTCAGAAATAGCAAGAGAAGGGGTGTTGCGTTTTTAAAAGGCGTAGCACATTCAGTGAGTGGATTAATTGTAGACAAAGAAAGAGAGCAGCTTTCACCAGAGGCACAGAGAGCTAACAAAAATTCATCTCAATGGGTGAAAGCGCGCCAACATGGGAAATCCTATAAGGAATTCACAGCATTGCATTTGTCACAAGAAATTCAAGCTCATGAAGGATCAATATGGACTATTAAATTTAGTTTGGATTCGCATTTTCTTGCAAGCGCTGGTGAAGATAGGATAATTCGTGTGTGGGAAGTGCAGGAATGTGAGGTTAGATCACCTGATGATTTGAATTCAGTTGGTGGCATGCCTTATCATCCTATGGTTGGTTCATTTTCAGATCGACCTCCGCTTGCAGAGATTACGCCGATGCCTTCAGAGAAGAGAAAAAAGGGAAGAATCCACAAAAAAAAGGGCAACTCAATTCCTGATTATGTAACCATGCCAGAAACTGTATTTGCACTTTCAGAAAAACCAATATGCATTCTGAATGGTCATCAAGACGATATCTTGGATCTTTCGTGGTCAAGATCTCAGGTCAGATTCTGGCCACTTATCTGAGTCAAAAAAAGGTTAATTTGACTCTTATTAAACTGCATTTGTTTAATGTTGATTCAGAAAATTTTATGCAGTTGTTACTTTCATCTTCAATGGACAAGACAGTGAGGCTGTGGGATTTGGAGACTAGAAGCTGTTTGAAGATGTTTGCACACAATGACTACGGTGAGTTCATAATTTATCAAGGCCTAGGCATTGAAACGAGAGTTGCATTATTTACTGGAATTATACTTCTGATGATTATATTGTAATGCAGTAACTTGCATACAGTTCAATCCAATAGACGACGATTACTTCATCAGTGGTTCACTTGATGGAAAAGTTCGAGTATGGAGCATACCAGATAGGCAGGTTGTCGACTGGACTGATCTTCATGAAATGGTTACTGCAGCTTGCTACACTGCTGATGGCAAGGTATGACTCTCTTGGAAGATTTTGAAATCCATGCTGAAGGATGTTCGGCTAAGTTTAAAAGTTACATTTTTTTTTTTTAAATACCGATATCACTTTTTTCGTTGCTGAAGGGTGCTATGATTGGTTCACATAAAGGGAGCTGTAGATTGTACAGTATTAATGGTATAAATAGCTATCCAATTCCATTGTCTCAGTTCATATTGTCAATATCTGTGTTAATCATCAACATGTATTTAGATTGTAAATTGGAGAAAAAGGATCAGTATGTTGTTCAGTCCAAGAAAAAACCACAATCCAAAAAAATCACGGGTTTTCAGGTAATTTCGCTTCCAGCCGCGTCTTTCATAAACTTGCCAAGAAGTAACTACATTTGTGTATTCATAGTTTTCCCCTTGGAACCCATCTGAAGTCCTCGTTACATCTGCTGATTCACGGATTCGCATCTTCAATGGATCACAGCTAATCCAAAAATTTAGAGGTATGCTTCTATGTCATGTTCAATAAAAACTTCAAGAAGTATATATGCATTCTGTAATATAATAAGTCCATTATTTGGTAACAGGATATCGGAACACCAGCAGCCAAATTTCAGCTTCGTTCAGTTCAGATGGTAAATATGTCATAAGTGCAAGTGAGGATTCTCATGTTTATATCTGGAAGCTCGAAGAATCCAGAGGGAAGGGCAGAAGTAAGATAACGGTCCTAGCTCACGAGCATTTCCATTGCAAAGAAGTTTCAGTTGCAATTCCATGGAATGGCTGTACGAAAATTGAGCCACCATTTGTAGAAGTACACTCCAAAAGGCATCATTCAAAACGCTTCACCGGTCCACTACCATATTCCATTAGCCGAGAAGACAATATGGTCAGTGCTAGTAGTCGGAGGCATTTGCCTCCTCTCCCGAAGAAAAACACTGAACTGGAGAGAATTACGAGCCACGCAGACGAAGATTTTGGGCAATCAGCTCGTATAGACTCAGGAATCGGAACAAGTTCATCATTTGGTTCATCATTAAGATACGGTGAATCACCTTCCATTTCAGCTTCTGGGAACTCTCCGATATCTCATTCTTTTTCATCGTCCTCCTCCTCGTCCTATTCATTGTTTGATGGTGGAAACAATAGCCATGGAGCTCACACTGTACAAGCAACGGCATGGGGAATGGTAATTGTGACAGCAGGTTTAGGAGGTGAAATTAGGGTTTATCAAAATTTTGGGCTGCCTCTAAAAGTCAGTCGCCAAACCAATCTCCTCAGAGACCTTACATAGAGAAAACTTGGGCTGCATGTTTCTTGAGAATGAACACGTACCTTTTTTTCCTTACAAGGGTACTCTGGGTACCTCCTAGGACCTCGACCCGCCTACCCAGGTCTCGTATGAATATAAAGGAATAAGTTGTTCACGAGAATATATTCCTCGTCAAGTCAGTTTGGAGTTACGCCCCCTTCTCGTTCCCTATAGGAAACAATATCCCTCCCCCATTTTGTACAAAATTTAGCACCTGTCAGGGCCAGATTTTTCAGGCCAAAAAGTCAATTTTTTGCCCGTTACTTGTCACTTTCCGGCCGTCTTTTTCCACAGTAACGACACTTTTTTCACTTTTAATCCATTGTAAAATCAGTCCCAGACAGAGCCTTAGTTGTTTAGGTGTTGAATTAAGTTAATATGCATCTAGGTTTTTGTGATGTCAATGTCAATATTGCTAAGCACGAGTTCTTGAGCTTTTTGCCTTTTGATTTCATCGTTTGAGTAAATTAGCGTTTTCTCGATATCGTTACTCGAAGAGATTTTTTAACCAATTATCAATCAAGTCATGATCCTAATTACAAAAGTAATAATATACAAACGGAAATTAGACACATGCAAAACACACGTATAAAGTTTATTCCAGTTCAAAATAACTTTGACGTGCCGAAAACTTAAAGGTACATATGATAAACATGATTATGTTAATAAAATTATTGCTAATTACATAATTTTTTTTGTTTTTTGACCTTCCTTTTTAGATCGAAATATTTTTTCTACACTGATTATATAAAATTTGGACTCAAAAACATAGGTTGAGTTAACCAAAAAGTTTCAAAAGTGACTATACGACGTCGTTTAATAGTATGAAATTCGAATTCAAATCCTTGCTCAGCGCCAGATCTGTACGAGCAGCGAAAGCGTTAGGGGCACAAATTTTCTCCGGGCACAAAAGTCAAGCTCCACGTTGACTATTTCTCTCAAAATGGCGTCGCCGTTCATCATCGACGATAAAGACCTTGACGACGCTGCATTGTGGGCAGTTATCGACTCCGCCGCCGCCCTCTCTTCCTCCACCAAATCCACCATTTCAAAACCCCGCAGTAAACCCCTGACACCAATTCCGTTCCCTCTCCCCTCTCCCCAACCAAAAAAACCCCACAACCACTACCAGTATACCAACGGAGAGGTTCTGCAGAACCATCGCCCTCAAAAAATTTCGAGGTCAAGTAATAGTTCTTGTGTATCCGAGCTCAGTGAATCGAGTCCTTCGCCACTGGCGGTGGTGAAGCACGTGCATCGCATGCCTAAAACTCCTCCGCTTTACTCTTCTAATTCGCCGGTGACGAATCATAATATTAATGACGATAATTATGGTCCTAATGGATCGGAGTGCAAGGCCATGAGTTATGGATATGGTGAGGGGAGAGAGATGAGGCATAGCTTGTATGGTCAGTTTCCAACTGTTAATCTCTTTAAGGAGTACCAAAATGCAGCTATGGCGGTAGGTTATTCATGGATTTGTTATAAATTTCATCTAAGTTGCAGAGTTATGAATAAAAATATTTTTGTGCTTCTCAAGATATGTGAGATTGGCATTGAGTAGATACATAATTCCGTTAATTTTACCCATTTGAATTAATACAGTCAGCGGATTTCAATGAATTTTTGAATCTTTTACCTTTTGATCCTGATTCTCCAACTTCTGGATGTGTTTATATGATATTTGTTCATCGGTTCCAATTTGAAGTAATTTAAGTTCAATACAGTTATTAATTCTGTTTAGAATTCTTGGGGGTGTTGAAGGAGAAAATTATAAATTTTAAACTAGCTGCAACTCTGGTCTCTGGGTAGAGATGTTATTCTGTTGAATATAACATATATTCCTTCTAATAGGACTACCGTATACATGTCAGGTCTTGTATTTTAAAGAATTATGTTTGTCATATAGTCTGGAATTATATTGAATAGTTGATCTATGTAGCTCTTGAGATAGACCAGTGTCTTCTATTGGGCTGCATTAAACACCTGTAAGTTCCGTCTACTGATATTGCCAACAAATATATATAATATAAATGCTCTCTTTGTAGAATAGTTTCTAGAGGAAGCCACCTTGGGTGAGCTTTCTCTAAAACTCTTCTAATGAAGACAAAGCATTGACAGAAAGTTATCCAAAGATGTCCAAAAGGAGTTTCTTAGTCTCAAAAACAGCTTTTGACTTTTCATTACCAGCTGCCAAACGACCTGAAATTAACGTGCGTTGCGATTCTGTAATAAATTATAATTTCTAAATCATACACATGCGCTGAGGCTGTAGACACATAGCATGATGTTTAATTCTGTTATCTGGTTATAATTTTGTGTGGAATCATGTGTTTAATTTCTTGTTAACCTATGCTAGCAACAAACATCACCAGTCTTGTTCCTCTGAAGAAAGTTGGTTTTCTGCTATCTGAATGTATGGTTACTCTATCTTGATGTTTTCTGGACAGATATTAGAGAAAAGTGATTACATCACAATTTCTGGAAATCCTTTTATTAAGAAGTCAGGTGAAGCAGCAAGATTGTTCTGTATGTTTTCATACAGAAATAGTTTTTTGTTATCACATGATTCATTGTTGTGTATATTAACTACAGGATGGAGAAAGATATCATTTTACTTCAATCTGTCGTATGAGATTAAAGACAAGACCATTGAATTTGATGAGAACCGTAATGTTCAGCGTGCTGAATTTGTGGTTCGTGCATACATGCAGTATGTTCTTTGACTTTGTCGGATATTAATTTTACAAGATTCTTTTATCTTCAAAATTTTCCGTACTTTGAGTTCTACTCTTTTATGTCTTTTGTAGGGGTGGTAGATTTTCAGATGGATGGGGTTCATGTGAACGACGAGAGAAGAGGTTTCTGAAACCGAACCACGATATCCCAAGCACAGCAGAAACTAGAGCAAAAAACAAGGCATGCCAGGTATGTATTCCTATTAGCAGTCTTACTTTGTGAACCTTCCCACTGATTGATGCTCTTTATCCAATAGTTATTATTAGTTTTTTCTCGACTACCAATGCATGGGTTATAGTTAATATGAAATATCTCATTAATGTTCGAGGGATCCAGCTCCATGTTAATCTACTCCATGAATTAGTAGTACAACAACGCAATAGTATATCCTTGCTTCCAAATGGTATGATTCCAGTTAATTTCCAGTTTTCCTTTCCACTGTTCTTTTATTGTTACATGATATCATTTCAAGAATATGATCCCCATTGGGCTTTATATATGTAGCCTTCTGTTAATTTTTCTCTTTTACCTTCTGTTTTAGCATAGAGTCATCGAACAGGTCCTAACAAAGTTCTTTTTATCTTAACTGATCTATCTTCATAGATAAACTTTAATTTACTTCATTTTTCCGGCAGTGTCCCGGTATTCGGAAAATCGTTGTTCCATTGGTTGTTGGGTGGAGTTTTATTTAAGACAGGCTTATTCCCCAATTGTGGAACTAGGTTTTTCATTTCCCCTTCAAGTGTTGTTCGAAACTTCAGTAAGTTACCACTAAATGTGTTCTGGATTGAGCTCTTGGTTCATGAATGGTGTTGTTCGACACCAACTTGTTTCTCTGGTGATTCTTTATGATTTGCGAACTCAGTAAAGCAAGCCAAGGGTGATATCATAACTAGATTTTGTACCTGTTTTTCATCCCAGCTTTGGTGTGGTCTTAGTACGCTGTTAAACATATGATCATACATAGTTGAAATTGAAAGTAAGGTTACGGCTGCTTGCATTTAGACATTTTTGATTTCCGTGAGCTTGCTTTAAGTTTTGATAACATGCAGATTAGAACAAGGATTAAGCAGTTGAATCTTTGCACATCAATAGTAATATATTATGTTAGCTTTGTGATTTTTGAGATTGCTTCTTGGGTATGTACCATGGTGTATGTTAAATAGTATCTCACCATAGAAGTCAAGATGTCTGGCATTTAAGTGAAGTTGAAAAGTATAGATGTTGAACACAAATATCAAAAGTTTCCATATGAGGGGCCATTTGCATCTGGTTTCCACGGGATGGTGACACCATAAGAGCTTCTGTTCTTGAAATTACAAAACGAGTACAAAGTGAAATTTACCAGATATTGGAGATTGAAATAGCATTCTAACAGTACATTTGAAGTGTCCATGCCTGTCCAAATATCCAAGTGTTGAACCTGACAACTTTTCTGAAGAATGAAGTTAATGCAAAACCAATATATATAGACAGATTTGAATAAGACTTTAATAATATATAAGGGATTAGGGACATTCTCCTTTTCTGACAAGTGACAATTGTGTCCATGACGAAAGTGGTTCAAAATCTGGTTCTTGGCCCAGAATCCTCATTGTTTTTCCTGTCTTCAGTTTTTCTGTTCATGCAAACTTGGTCATTGACTTTTAGGGCCTGTTTGATATAGATTTTGTGAAAAAGTAATTTTTTTTTTGGAGAATATGTGGTTAAAAAGTAGGGAAAAATTATGGATTTATGTGCATAACTATTTTATTTGGAGATTATGCGGTTGAAAATCAGTTTGAAAAAATGAGTGTTTGCATTTGTTTTATTTGTTTATTAATTTTCTTTTTTGCTTAAATTTGGTAGGGAATAACAGAATAAGCTACAAACTATCATTCTCTAATCAAATCTACTGAATTGTGGGTTGGTACGCAGAAATATGATCATTGTAAATATATGTAGGACCTGCTGGGAATTGGAGAGTATCGGCCTGGTGCAAGCCATGCTCACCCGTAAACTATGGTTCATCCTACGTTGCTTCTGGCAACCTCACCTGCTAGTCTTGAAGGGGATGTATACAAAATTACTTCTTGATACAAGGAGAGAGAAATAGAGGCATAGTGGTCATTATTGATATATAGTAACAACTTCCATTGGATCTTCCATTTCTTTAGTCCATAGTTGAACTATCAAAAATACTTGCTAATGGTTTCATAAAATTCTATTACATCTTGTATCCTCTGAAACAGTTGTAATTGTACTTGATTGTATCAAATATTTCATATGCTATAGATGAAAATAGTAATTAATTTCAATGCCTTGTCACAGCATTTCTTAAAGTGGTTGATGACACCAGTTCTTTTTTGTATCTGAATTCATTTAAGTTTCAGTAACACCTTTGAACCTATAAGTTGATATTGGTGAAAAAAAGAATCGAATGATCCTCAAACTATACACTGTTTTGAAAATGTCCCCAAACTTTAAATTGAACTTCAATAGTCCCTTAACTTTATGTCAAGGACAATGGTGTCCAAAAAATAAATTTCGTACGAAGTTATTAATGGACTTGTTATCATATCTTGCATTACTTTGACATTTAATACACTAACAAAGATAAAATTGCATTAGGAGCTTTCACACTACAAGTCATTTGAAGCGTATTTTCCATAAGATATGGTGAGATTTATCCTTGTTACCGTATTAGGTGTCAAGTAATGTCATGTGAGATGCATCACAATCAATTCATTTTTGGGACTAATTCAGTTCATGACTTATTAAGGGATTATTAAAGTTCAATTTAAAGTTTTAAGGATTTTTTTTAGCCATACTGTAAGTTTAGGGACCATTAAGGGTTTTTACCCAATTGATAACCTACTTTAAATTATCATAATAATATATTTCATAAGTTCTGTCATAACAACTTGTAGTGTTTCCATTCATTTTACAATCAAAAACTACTAAAAAGTAAGTATAAATTTCTGTTCTCGAATTCTGAAGCACATGTTTGCTTAGTTAAGAAATTGAATTTATTTTATTTCAAAGTTAATTAATTTTTGTTGCACATTTCATGAAATTCACAATTTTTCAACTACACGTTCCATTAACTTTTATTAAAATCTATTAAAAATCTAATTTTCAGCCTAATTGCATTGTTGTGTGAGGAAATTTCCTTCCTCGGGGTGTTATTTAATTTAACAGCAATTCAACTGCAATACGGTATTTATAGTTCCATTATGCTTATAGTATGTTTGGTAAGGCGAACTCGACAATATTATATTGGTCAGCCCTCTAAATAAAATGGTTAAGAACAAGCACAGAGCAACAGAATTTAGAGGTATGGGCATCTTTCATGTGTCCCGATATGTGTTATTCACGTATGGTAATACAAAAAAGTTAGATCTCTCACCAGAAACTGGGCACATAAAATAGAGAAAAAAAATTAATAATCATAAAACCCTTTTTGGACTTGAGAATTCCCAATTTCTCTTCAATCTAGTGCTAGACTGAAGTTATCAAGATAAGAGTGTTGCAACAATACAACCTCAGTCTCTACTGGTTCCAAGCCCTAAGCCTTATCAAACTCGCCGCATTCGTCACCAACCTTTCCTGAACCACGACCTAATCTCCCGAACGAACCCAAGGATGACAAACTCTTGAAGCTGCTGCTGCCTTCACCAAGACTAGATGACTTTCTTGTTATTCTAGGCATTGTCGAACTAAACTCCAACTCCATCTCACGATCAATTTTATTATTGGCAACAACTAACCGAGTAATGCCAGTTCGACAGAAGGGACACAGTGGAATTTTTGCAGAATTAGAGGCAGAATTGGGTTTGTTGTGACTGCATAAAGCCAGAGTGCAATGAGCACACATCTCATGACCACATTCTCGAACCTCAATTGTGCACTCCTGCTCGAAGCAAATGCAACATAGCTTGGCATCATTCACCTGCATGACAAGAATATTCGCATTTTATTCCTCGACTATAAAGGGTGAAGACTAGATTGGTTCTAGAGTAATTATTTCACGACAAAGTCACACTACAATCTATTGGACTGTCGAGTACAATAGACAAGATATTATCTTCTTTGTTTATTCCTATCCAATCCAATGTACCCAACATGCCAGAAGTGTTTCGCATTCTTGAAGCACACCTACGAGTACTGAACACAGTTGTACAAGTGATTACTTTTCTATTTATCTTCTTAAATGAAGTATTCATCGAAAACGAGCAGCGAGTAGAGATATCGCACATGGAACGTTGTCTCACTCTCGCTCCACTTTCTCCAATAGTATGCATTTTCAAATGAATCTCAAGCAGTATATACTTTTCCAATTATCTTCTTAAATGAAGTATTCATTGAAAACATGCAGCAAGTAGAGATATTGCACATGGAACATTGTCTCACTCCCGCTTCACTTTCCCCAATATGGTTGTATGCATTTTCAAATGAATCTCTAGCAGTATATATCATAAATAAGCATTGGTTCCACATCTTTAAATTAGGAATATATCCAACAATATAAGATTATCACCGAAGGAGCATTCTTTTGACCCTTTATATAATAAATCTGCAAGGATGAATTTAGGAATTCAAGTCAAATTGCCCTCTCTTTCTGATTGTTGTAAAATTCTTAAGACATCATATATTTTTGTATCTTAGGTTTTAAGACTACAAGACAAAGGAAATTCTAATTTTTCTTTACCTGAAAAGAAGTTTTAATTATAGCCATTCTCGAAATAATCTAAGCCCCTGTTTGAGCCACATTATTTTTTTCGTTCTCATTCTTCTACTCATTTTCAACCACACATTATTCAATAAAATAATATTTTCCATCACATTAATAACATTTCCTTCTTTTTCAACCATATATTCCTCGTCACATCAAACAAAAAAATGCATTCTTGGACTCAAAATGTGCACCAAACAGGGGCTAAATCAAGAATCTACAGAGATCTATTCTTACGAGCCCTTCATTCTGTTATGCAAAATGGAATTCAAAATACTTTTGGCAGGGTTTTGTACCTCAAAATCATCGTCAGAGCCACCAGAACTAGAAGGTTGTGGAATTGAATCAGATTTCTCCATCAAGATAGCTTTTTCTCTCTTTTTATTGGCTTCAATTAGGGCATTTTCTAATAAACCTTTTGCTTCAGGACTCAGCTCGTTGATAAACTTCAAGGACGACGGCCAAGTCAAAGGCTCAGGAGCCAGAGGATTTAACAGTGCAGCACATGCGTCATGTTTGTGCTTCACAGCGACCATGTAAGGTATTCTCCTGCAGAGAAACCACACCATATCAACGAGTTATTTTAATTTTACCCATGAACATGAGAAAATAAGTATGTTAACTAAAATTTAACACAATATCAACATGGTAAAGAACAGATTTTTTTCCCAAGGTTCGGGGATGAAGCAATGACGTAAAAAATGATGTTTGGTTCAATTGGTGGTGTTGCATTTGAACAGTGTTCCCATGACAGAAAAACCAACGTTAAAGTAGACATCTCAACGTTGGGGTGTCCATATTCTGTAAGCGTTTTCACCTAAAACATGTCAACTGTAACATGGATTGGTTTATTGATCACAAAAGAATTCTATAGAGACATGAAATCGCCCAGTGAAGCTATCCATTTGTCCAAACTTCTCAATTAGCTAGACAAGAGGCCAGAATTATCAACATTTGATTTTCACTGCAAGACTTAAAACCAGCAACACAATATGTGCAATAATTTTAGTTACTTCGATGGAAATGCATGTGTTTCGGAGAAAGTTCATGGCTCACCCAGAGGAATCTCTTTGAAGACGATCAGCACCCCAAGCAAGCAATTCCCGGACACAGTCCAAAGAACCACCCCGTGCAGCCAAGTGAAGAGGTGTACTCCCTGGGTAGCTGCAAATATTATCTGTCATTATAACTGATGAAAGCAACAAAATGCTAAAAGAAAAGAACCATATTAAAGTTATACCTATATCCACCAGTAGAGGCACACGCAAGAGCCCCACTGCTCAATAGAACGCGAACACAATCACGTCGTCTTTGACGAGCTGCCAAATGCAGTGGGGTTGCACCTCTTCCATCCCTTACATTAACAAATCTCAAAAATCCCCTGACCTCCCATTTGAGCACAAGAATTAGCACCTCATTTTTAATAGAAAAGCAGGGATCATAAACCTAGATAAGACAACATATGGAAGAAATAGTCACCAAGATTGTGCAACTGGAGTAGAATGAGCAGCAGAAAGAATCAACTGTAGGCAATCTGAATGGCCATAGTAGGCTGCATAATGCAAACAGGTTCTTCCATGTAATGTATCAAACAACAATATCTGAAAATCCCCAAGAAAAATCCGTCATCAAATCAATAACTCAAGTCAATAAATACTCTGAAAAAAAAAACATTGAGGCCAAATGCAATTATCATACATTTGCTCCAGCTTGAATCAGTCTTCCCACGCAGGAAATATTTCCATGCATAGCAGCTAACATCAATGGAGTCTGATCCATCAGAATTAAAGAAAAACAACGCAAGTATATGTGAGAAAATAAAAATGAATCTCAACTCGAAATTACATAAAAAGAATAACATGATGAGCTTCCCTTGAACAAGAATCAAACAACGCCCACCTGTTTGTGGCGATTCAAGATATCTGGATTACTACACCGATCCAGAAGCACAGAAAGAACCTATCAATAAACAGAACGAAGAAAATTTGATCAAACTGCACAGACATAATTACGTCAAGAAAATCACTAATCAAAGAAGATCACAGAAATCTCACCTCGATCTGACCAGTTGCAGCAGCTACATGAAGTGCAGAGAGCTTTCCATGAACGGTTTTCACTGTCAACAAATTTGGGTTCTCATCGGCCATTGCTTCGACTGTGTCAAGCTCTCCAGTTTGGACTGCGATGAACAGATCATTCTCGTGGATTTGTCCACAGCTCAGCCCCTGCCCCATTTCGTAGGCATTAATAAAAGCGTCTTAGCTTGTCCTCGACGCGCCACCCT